TCACAGAGCTCCACCTGTCTCTCCCATCTCAGTGCTGGGATTAAAGGTGTGCCCACCATGTCCACTCTGTTCTTCATTCTTAAATTGCTTATATACTTCATTCAAATTTCTTTGAGTTTGGGGATTTTTTTTTTTTAAGTGTCTCCTTCAATTTAAATATATAGGAGAAAGAACTTCTGGACTTTCTTCCCCTGTGGCTTCTCCTGGGTCCCATCTCTTTGTTAACAGCAGCAGTATCCTGTCTCTGATCCAACTTACTTAACACATGATCTCTTTCATTTTGTCACCCACATCCACGCCATTGCCACGACTAATCTTTCAATCTGAAGAGCTGTCATTTCTCTTTCATTTTCATGCCCAGGACCCATGCCCCTCACTATTTTTTCCCAGAACCTTGTAATGCCTCTGACACTCACTTTCCCTTTCAGCCTCCTAAATCTTTAATCCACTTTTATAATTTCTATTTGAGAATTTCTATTTGTCCCCTGCCCCTGTGTCTGCAATAGCTCCCTATTGCCGATTTCTTAAAGCCTAACCTCTTTAATGATGCTCAGACCTGCTCTTTAGTTAGCCCCAGCCTCCTTCAGTAGTCTCACTTGTCACTTCCCGAGATGTCTGTCATTTTCCTCCACAGGTGCATTTTCCTCAGATTCATTGGGATACTTCTCAATTCCATCCAATTAGCAAAACCCAAATAGCCTTTTGAGACCTTGCTCAAATATCCACCCCTCTTTTCTGGAAACTTCCTTGATTCCCCAGGCACTTTTACTCCTTACCATTTATTTTATTCATATCCTTATGCTCTTGTCTTAGGGCAAGGTTCCCAGAGGCACAGTCTGAAAGGAGAATGTGTAGGGAAGGAAACGCTTCCAGAAGACAGCAGCAAGTGGATGCAAGAAATACAACATGGAGGGAAAGAGATGAAGCAAGGGGGAGCAGTAACTCCAAGTCCCAAGTGCGTAGCTCTTCGCCCTTCTCTCTGGAATCTCTGGCTGTTAATTTGTCCTCCGAGACAAGGCACTGTGCTTCTCACATTATTCCCACACCAGCAGTCACTGGGTAGGAGCCAGCCCTCAGGCGCTTCCTGCTCTCTGTCTGGGTGCCCACTGGCCCATGGGCAGCACTTGAAGAAGAGTGATGAATGCGGGCCACTGGAAGCAGAAGCACGCTGGAGTTGTTTGAAGTGCACAGATCCCAGAGTATCTGGCAGGTAGCAGCAATGTCAGTCTCAGACATGGCTGATCCTGCCTTGGGATCAAGCATGGTTACTGTGAATGCTGAACCATGCAGGAGCAAAGACTGCTTCTTAGTTTCCCTATGTCCCTACAGCAGGTGGAGTCCCACCTTGAGGTTGGTAAGGGTTTGAATAGCACTTATATACTTGAATCAAATACTTAAGCAACATTCTGTGGCGACTGATCATTTTGCCGGGATACCGCTCCCAACCCAGGGGTTTTAGTTCATTTATCAAATACATGGTTTATGGAGTTTCAAAACCCAAGGTCCAATTATTCTTCCTGTTGCAACGACATGCTCAGCACATCTCTTCTGAAATTCCAAGACAGGCTGCTTGTTCTGTTCAGTCAAGGATGCCAGCCCGAGAATCATTTTCTGAAAGATCACAGTCAGCTTCATTGCCAAGAGGAGTTCTTGGCACACAGAGAACCTGGTTCAATCTGAGGTACCAGATGGTGATTTCAACTTCAGCTAAATTCCTGCTGAAAAGTGTTTGAACTGCAGATGAGAAAAGCTTCGATGACAAATTTCCAAGCATGAGACGCTTCAGAGAAAATGGCAAGTGTTGAGACACCCCACCCCCCAACAGCCACATGCACGCATGCCACAGAATCTCTACCCGAATCTGTGGCCAAGAGTCCCGCAAAGATGCCTTTGCTTCTGAACAGACTATGGATCCCAATTTGATGGTCACCATGAGTCAAGTATATTCACTGGGTCTATGGTCTTCTTTCTTTTGAAAAAAATATTAATGTTTTTGAAGAGCCTGAGGGTTTAGAAGGTGGCCAATTAGGAAAAAATAAAACTTTTTTTTTTTTTTGACTGTGTGCATTATTCCAAGGTAGCTCTTTGGGTCCACTATGAATAGTCCCAGAAAGTAAATGCATTGGAGACAGGCCCAGACCTGGGGTCAGATGCATCCTCCTCTGTGTGAGCTTAAGGAAGGCATCAAAACTTTGGGAGTGACAATGTGGATGGAAGGAACAGCAGAGGGAAGACTCAGGCATGTGCACAGAGCTGAGCAAAGGCAGGTTGGCAGAGGACATTGCAGGTTGGCTGAGGATGTTGAGGGTTTTTACTTTGGTCACATCTCAGCTGGGCTTTGGATGTCAGGAAGGCCACCCAGGACAACGTGTGAAAAGCACTGAGTCAGGGTGGCAGCCATGTTTTAGGGACATCCTTGCCCTCTGCTCTGTCGTGCTACAATCTGAGTATATTGCCCAATTGGAGTCCCTTCTTAGAGTTCAGAGCTGCCTCTAGTATTTTCTACTCTCTTACCTGGTGGGCATTTGTGCTTCTGCAAGAGAAAATGATGCATCCCTCATTGTTAAGGGCAGGAGCCAAGAATGCTCCCTCTGAACACCTAGACAGTTCCGGGCACTGAGTAGGAACTCAGTGCTTTAAAAAAAAACATGCTGAATTCACTTCCCTTTCTTTCTTTCAGCTCACAAAGCAGAGATTCTAATTCCTAAGGAGAGCCTCCAGGGGCCTACCTTTCATCACTCCTCTGTGCTTATGGTCTATCATACTGAGGATGCTGCCTAGTCTCCTAGTCCCTAGCATGCATCTCTGGAACCCACACTTCTTTTTTCTCCTTCCCCATTTCACCATTCAATCTCCTTAGGGAGAAAGTATGGTATCTCTTTCTTTCACTCAGTTCCTGGGCTTGATAGGGGAGTTTGGGGCTATTCTGTGAATAAGAAATAACATACCCAACTCTGACATGGGAAAGGGCAGGTTGAGTTGGATTCATGTTATAGCCTTTCTGTGGCCTGGGTGGGCATGGCAGGGGATAACTCTTTGGGTGCTGGGAAATGAATGAAGCCCAAAGTTTCATTCTCCCTTCTCTTCCTCCTCCTTCCTGTCCCCTTAACTTCAGGAAAAAACAGTGTGACATTCTCTTTCAGGGATTGGGCTTCAGTTAACTTTTTAGGCATTTTAACCACCTGAGAACCCCAGCTCCATACTGTGAAATGTAGCAGAAAATCACTCAAAAAATGTTATGTGCAAATATTCCAATGATCCAGCCTCCCTTAGGTTCTATAAAATGAGAATTGAAATCAATAACAGATAAACTCCAATGAACAAAAATGAAATTTGGCTTGCAAAAGATATTACCTGTAGGCAAACATTTACATTTCTTTTCCTTTTTCTTTATATTATATATAATGTAGAGTTGAAGCAATTTTTATCAAGTGATAGGCTGGTTCTAAGGGAAGTCTCTGTGTTTTTTCCCAGTGATTCTTATCTGGACTAAGACTAAACTAAACACCCACCCTGGGTAATCTAACATGCAGACACATGATGTTAAAGAATCTGCTTCAGGAGGTGGGCACTTGTACCAAGCTCCATGCTTTTCCCTCCCTCTACTGAAGAAGGGAGGCCACCCCAGCACCTGCTAAGAAAGCCTGTCTTGTGTTTATCTGGTTATACCACCCTGGCAAGCTGAGCTTCCTCCATAAGCAGTGAATGCTGCCTCCAATATCCATCCCCTTGCCCCAAGGATCACTGCTTTGACCTCGAGCTATTTCATCCTCATGGATTCACAGATTCTTGCTGGGTAAAGGGGTGTGTGGAGAGATAACCAGTAGGATGCGCCTGCCATGGCAAAGATTAGGCAAAACAAGGTGCTTCATCGCTCTGCCCCTCTAAGGCAGTTGGGGGGTCTGAGTGCCCAGTGAGCATTATTCTCTTATTCATGACATCTCTGTAAGTATTCTGGTAGTGGGTTGGTGTGTGTGTGTGTGTGTGTGTGTGTGTGTGTGTGTGTGTGAGTGTGTGTGTGGGTGTGTGTAACTGAATAGCCACATTCGCAGTTTATGTTTCTGGTGCTTATCTAAGAATGTTTAAAAGAAGAAGAAAAAAAAAAAAAAAAAAAAAAGCAAGGGGCAAGAACTGCTTCTTACTCTCCAGATGTGCTGTGCTGGAGAAAGGCTGGAGAGAACCAAACGTGGGTGGTAATAAATTAAGCAGATCCTTCCTTCCTCAAGGGCCACAGGAGGAACCCCTGCAGCTCATGGGCGTTGCCTCTGGCCCACAGCCCTTTCCACCTCCAGCCTCGACTTGGGATCTGTCTGACTGCTTTGTGATAGAAGAGCAGGGATGGATTGAGCAAGCCAAGATGGAGAGAGTGTTTGGGGGTAGTGTGTGGGGCAGGATGGGAGAAAGAGGTATACCATCGAGCAACCTTGATGGCCCAAGGACCACCGGCTCCAAGGACTTTCCATCCTGCACGGCTGTGACCCGGGGTTGACTATGCTCTCAGGAGGCTGTACTGGGGGCGGGCATCTTTGAGGATGAGGTGGGCCAGGGCTGATGCCTTCTAGAAGAGGTAGGAGATTCAGAGGGCTCATGCAGCTAGGGACCTCTTCCCTATAACCCTCAAAGGGCTCCCCAGGGCTGGGAAATCCAGGGTCGTCTGCTGGCGACAGAGGTCCCTGAACCCCTTTTAAGGTCTCGCAGGCTGGGGTCATGACTCCCTGAAGACCTTGTGGGCCGTGTGTCTGAGCATCTGGAGTAGACGGCGGGCAGAGGGACCGCGTGTTGGCATTGCTTGCCAGCTGGTGCCCTGCGGCGATCTTGGGGTGCAGGTCCCGCACCGCCCGGCCGTTCCCAAGTTCGAATCTCCAGGCGGGGGATCACACTGCCGAGGGCTCGGCCGCGGCCACCCGCTCCTCCCTCCGAGGCCGGCGGAGGAGGAGCCGCGCCCGGCCCCGGCGTCGCCCTGACTCCTCCCCGCGCGGGCCCTGCGCTTCCTCCCGGGCGTGCAAGCTCCGGGTGGAGGCGGCCGAGCGGGAATCCAGGCCGTCCCGAGGTCCCGCCGAGCCCGAGAGCACAGCGGCCATGGTCAGCGCGGCGCCGCCGGGCACCTGACCCCCGGGACGCGGTGAGCGACGAGCCCAGGAAGCGTGGGGTGCGCTCGGTCTGGGGCAGCGCGGAGGCCTCGGCTGCCCACGCGCGTCCGCAGAGCAGCGCGGTCTTAGCGGGGCGGAGGATGGGCGGGGCGGAGGATATGCGGGGCTGGGGATGCGCGGCTCTTTTGTGCGCGCGGGCGGCCGGGCTATGGAAATGACCCCCGAGCGGGTCCCCAGTCCCGTCCTTTTGAAGGACGCGCGCCCGGAACGGCGGCGCGGGCTGCTCAGTGTCGCCGCGCTCCCGCAGCCCTAACAAAGCGCCTCTTCGCCTTGCAGAGCCGCGAGACGCCGACGGAAGGTAGGCGAGGGCCGGGCCACCGCACCCGGGGTCGGTGCTGCACGCCTGCGGGTTTCCAGGGACCCGAGACCCGCCCTCTGGTCACACCTTCGCGACCTGCGGCGCCCCCGGCTGAAAGCTGCTACTGTGAGCCGGTCCGGGAGCGGAGTGCAGTCCCCGAGGGAGCAGGAAGGGTGTTTGTTCTGTCGGTGCAGGCAGCCCCAAGATTCAGGAGCCGTTTGCAGCCCTTAAAGTGGAGATTTTTAGAAGGTGCGTGGGATCGGTGCAGGTAGAGACTTTACCGGTGCAGCTGCCAGGAAAGGGGGACAAGACTTGGTGACACTTGCTCTGCAAGCCCTGATCGCCAGAGCAGCTGGGAAGTGAGTGTGCTTGTGTGTGGAGTGAGGCGCATCCTGCCTGGGTCTGAGGTGCAAAACCAAACCTGCCCCCAGCAACGCTGATGCAAACCGGCCTTTGCTTCAAGCACTCTGTGAAATTGAGAGTGACAGAGGCGATTTTTCCAGCCTCTACCCCTACAGACTAGGCCAAGGTGCAAATAAAACGGGAGCTGGAGGACTGTCTTGCCGTAGACAACCTCATTGCTCATTGCTATGAGATGGTCTGCTCCCCCTCCAGGTGCGGAGGAAGCACAGAGACAGGCTTTCAGTACAACTCAATCTTGAGTTGAGGAAATCAGAACAGAGCGTGTGGTTGTCGTTGTCACCGACTGAGTAGCTTTTAGGATGCTGGGCTTGAAGCCCAGCGTAACACCTGAGCTAGGCTCCTAGGACCATGAAAAATTCCTCAGTTGGGTTCCTTCTGTCATGTTAGCGTAAATTTATATCTCTGCATGCTTCCCGAGGCCTAACAACCCACAAGACAGTGCATTTTGCAGTGTAGTTTATCTGTGACTTCTCTACTAGCGAGCATATGCTGGTGGCTGGTCGCTGACCTGGAATTTTATCTTGCTCTGGAGTTGAAAGTAGCCGAGAAATACCCAGACTGTGTAAGAGTAACATGATGCCTGACTGAAAAAGAGTTTGTGTGGCCTCTTAAGGCTGTGGTTGGTGTTCATAGAGGAATGATGTGAACTACTGGGGGTGAGGGGTATTTACAGACTTGATTATTTTCACCTGCCCCCACTGCTCTGCTGGGAAGCATTCTGAACTGCGGTGTTGATCAAGGAAATGTTCAAAGACATTGCCAACCCCACAGAAGGGCTTTACTGGGGCAAAGAGGAGGAAGTTATGCTATGCATGGTCTTTGCCTTGAAATGTCAAGGATCAGTCATTTTAATAGGTCCTTGCTCAGAATGTCATGGGTTCTTTTTTTCTTATTCATTTTTCATTTTAGATATGTAATGGCCCTTAATACCAGTAGATGTTAACGCACAGGACAAGAATAGGGCTCCAGTGAATTCTGAACAGCCAATCGTAATTTAATAAGCAATGTTCTTATCAGGAGTCAAATGTTGTTCAAACAGATTGTTTTAAATGTCATTGCAAATGACTTTCTAAACTAACATTTCACCAATCTTGATACTTCCATTTCATGTTGATAATGAAAATACATTTTTATCAATCTTATGCTGATAGAGGGTTGACATGTATAACCAGAGCCTTTCAGAGGGATTCAGACAGCCAGGGCCTTTCAGAAAGATTAATTTTATAGATGCCAACTCATTTGTACGCCAATAAATAATGCAGTTTGAATTCTGGCTATTGATCCTGCATCTGTTGGGCAGAGGCTTGTGAGGAGGCTCACTGAAACTTGGAAAAAAATTTTATCCTATTATATTTACCCATAAGAGAATTGTTTTAAAACTAAAGAATTATACAAATGAGGAACTTTGTTAGATATAAGCTTGCTTCTTTACTGAAGTTTGTACAAGCCACTGGACACTCATTCAGGTTTTTGCATGGAAAATGTACAAAGTATCTAATAGTCACCTCAAACACAACGTTTGTGAAATCCCATTCACAGATGTGAACAAAGCTCTTCGCTCACACCCCAGAGAGCTCGCCTTATAACTTTAGCTGTCCTAAACTGATTTATGTAAACATGGCTTAAGAAATGAAAGTTGTTTTAAGAATTTTTAGAAAAAAAAGTAACAGACATGCAGCTGTTTTGGCTTCCTTTACTTTTGCTTAGTAGTTGGTTATACATTGCTGGATCTATGTTGTACAAAGCTAATTTTTTTTTTTCCTCTAACCATTCTAACTACTTGATTAGGTAATCCACCCATTATTGAATTTAACAAAAGCCTGGATTCACAACAACCTTCAGGATAGTCAAAAGCTTGTTTAGGCTAGAAAATGCTATTAAGGTACCCTAACCCCAGTGAAATTTTATGATATGTATTAGCAAAGAGAGTTATTTTCTTTCAAAATTATTTGAATGTGAATTTTTCCCTGTTCAATGGCATGTAAGATTTCTTGTTATATTTTTTATATCACAATTGTATTCCTGGTGATGCTGTGTTGCTTTTGGTACCCAGCTTGAAAGGAGGCGCACTGTTTGAGTAGAGAGGAGGCTAGCTGACGGTCTTTACTTTGGGGCTAAACTGCAGCAGTTTGGGACAGAAGTGTTCTAGATAAAATGTGAGCCAGTAATTGCTCTGGGGAGCTCATGCTGTACTTGAATTTACTCTCCTACTTCCTTTTATACTGAAATTAGTATAAGATGGTAAACCTGAAAATCTTAGCAGCTGATGAAAATGTTTGTAGAAAAGCAGGAAGAAAAACACTTTAATTCAATCATAGCCATTATTGGGCTGTGACATGCTCAATGGTGAGAGCTAAGGGTATAAGTGAAAAGCCTCTCCAGGCAGGGTTTATCATATCACTGCAGTCTCAAAGTAAATTAGTCACTTGATGGTCACTGCCTGGGCTGTGGACCCCCAACAGCTGTGTTTGAACACAGTTCCGAAGCATCTATTATGATACCTCGAAAGGAAAGAGGCTGAGCCTTCAGGGGCATGCGGACAGACATTCCGTAGAGCTGTTCAGCTGCTGGGCCACCTGGAAGGGAAATAAAAGGCCTGGGCAAGGGGCTCTGGCATTGTGCTTATTTATTATTTGGTTTTCACTTACCAGACTCTGTCCCCTTTACACTCCCTCCAGCCCAGAATAGATACCCACTTTGCCTGGGGTACCATTCTCACAAAGTTCCTTTACCCCGATGCTGGAAAGTTCCTGAGTTCACGTATGTACTTCCTACTGGCCTTCTGTTCACACATTCACTTCATTACTCCAGCCCCACCTCCACCTATTTCTTTCTCTGTTCTGGATGGCACTGTGATTTCATCAGCTGGGGGTGCTGAGTGGCACACAGTACAGATTCCTGATGGTCATCCTCTTTAAGAGCCTGTGGCCTTTTGGCAGCCTCAGTTTGAGCTATTTGGGAGGAACATGCTCTGAGCAATTGTCATTCTGGGTGGTAAATGTTTTGATTAATGGTACTGTGCATCTGCCCCTTATTTAACTATCCCAAGTTAGAACTCCAAAATACTGCCCACACTGACCCTTTATTCTAAAGGAGTCATAAAGGCTTATGGATGGCTGATTGGGAAGGTCATTGGTGATGAAAGACCCAGGTTTATGGCAGCCTTCATCAAACTGGAATTGTTCTTTGCAATTTCAAGGAAAATTTACTAGTCAAATTCCAGCTTTGTAAGATTCCTGCTGCTGGTTAGATCTTCCTTCTGGAAAGCATTGGATTCACAGGTTAGACTTAAATATTCGCTTTTGGAGGGTGGGGGCAAGAAATGGAATGATGTTTGAATCCTGAACTTTATCAGTACTGTCCAGTTGGCTGACTATAAAGGGGCCGTTAAGTTCTCCAGGGGAGTCATTCAGTAGTCCTATTATGTGTCTGTCCCATGTGCATGTTGATGGTTGAGGGATAATAATAATCATACTAGAGTTTGAGTCTCAAGTCCACCTGCACTTTAGTGCTGTAGTCTTGAACAGATTGCTTGATTTTGCCAAGCTCCAGTTTCTACATTTTAAATGGAAAACTGATACTGTCTACACCCCTGAATTGGAAGGATTAAATGATATGAACGAGACAGTTTACATGAAGTACTTGGCATAGACTAGGCTCACAGCAAATGCTGGGAAGTAAATACTAATGTTACCTGAATTCCCAACCACATTTCAGCCCTTCTGTTTTGTTTTGTTTTGGGGTGTGTGTGTGTGTGTGTGTGTGTGTGTGTGTGTGTGTATTTTGGCATTGAATTTGTCATGTGTGTGTGTGTGTGTGTGTGATGCTGGGAAGTAAATACTAATGTTACCTGAATTCCCAACCACATGTCAGCTCTTCTTTTTTGTTGTGTTTGGGTGTGTGTGTGTGTGTGTGTGTGTGTGTGTATTTTGGCATTGAATTTGTCAGTAATCTGCCTAGGAAGATTAAGGGAGCACCAAACATTACCTGTAGCTGGTCTCAGTAATATAATGATGTTTATGTGTGTGGCATTCATCTCTTCTTGCCCTCTATTCGCTAGCATTCAAAGGCTCCTGCTTTGCTGCTCTGAAGGTGGACTTAGGGCCACTGGGCTTAAGTTACTCTCAAAGCTTATGCCTCCTTTGCAGGCTTCAGGTATTTTCTTGCTTGATTTTCAGTTCCTCTCTGGGATCAGCTACTTCCACTAGCTCGCCAAAGTTATCGCTCAACAGACCCCTTCCAGATGGCTGTTGTTACTCTCATTGTCTAAACAAGGGGACTCAAGAAGTGTTTTAGTGCAGATTTGCCTCCCAAGTTTCCTCTCGTAACAGAAAAACGCAGCTGTAGTTGTTGACTTCATCACCAATACACTGAAGTAAACTTTTGATGGCTTTTTACTGTAGTTTGGTAGTCACTCTTAGCTCTTGGCTTCTGCTTGGTTAGGTCTAAGACTGAAATACCCTGGCCTTGAAGCCCGGAGTGGGGGGATATGGAGATTTATATGGGGAAGAAAAAGGTGCAAAACCTTTGTATTGCTTTTAGTACCTCCCTTTAGGGTAAGTGTTCTCCCCTGAAATGTCTGTAACATGAGGTCAGTCCATGTTTGCTGAGCCCTGGGGGGAAGAACAGACTGTTACTCACTTGGGGGAAGATATAAAAGTAGGAGTGGGCCCTATGCTTAAATTTCTGCCAAGTGGGGAGGAAGAAAAAAATCTCACACATGAAATTACTGATGAACATTTGGAGAATCATGTTAACCAGCAAAAATGCATTTGGTACCAGATGAGAACTGACAGCTTGTCACCACGTGTAACATCGCCTGGATGTTTCAGTTGGCACTCCCGTCCACTGGTGGAACTTCCCCACACCTTTCAGTCTAAAGAATGTACTCCTAAGCTTGCCGTCTACAGAGGGAGGGAGATGAAGTTAGAGATAAGGAGGGGAAGCCGTTTTCAAAGGGAAGAAGTTTGATCTAGTGACAATCCAGTTCCCTCCCCACCCCACCCCCCTACACACAAAAGCAGGCTCAAAGCAGCAGATAATACCAGGACTTCTCATCATGTCCTGTGTTCATTGGCTTAGATCACCACCCTGAAAAACAAAAGGGGAAGTGTGAAGAGTCTTTCACTTTTGAGTTTTTAAACATATATGGGGGGGAAAAAAACAAGCAAAAGTAGAATGGTCTAGCTTTTCTGAAATTGGTCAGATTACAGCCCAGAGGGTTGTAAGTCAGGGTGGGCTGGAAAGAGCTGTGGAAGCATCCAGAATCTCAGAGCCCTGTGGAGGTTTTTAGCAGATCTTAGTTGACAATTGACTAGCCAACTCTAGGTGATTCTCCTCATCTAAACTCCTACCTCTTAGGGCTTTGCATAGCACCTTGGTGTTGCTTTTCTGATGTTTATATAGCACTGTCAACATAGTTTGAAAACATTTGCATACTGATTAGTTAACCCAACAGACCAGCCCTGGGAAGTCAGCCAGAGGTAGCAAGTAGCACTTCAGTGATAGAAAAGCTCCTGATAAAAGAAACCTGCCCCAAAGCTTGGACCTACACCCTGCCATGTCACTTTCCTGAGTGACCCCCCTGAACACTGGGGCTGTAGTGCAGAGTCATTCAGACCCTTCTGAGGCCACCAAGTTTTGCACAGGTGGGCTCGTCATATTTTGAACAATTATCTATGGAAAGAAAGCACACAGCCTAGAGCAGATTTGTTACAGAAAGCTCCTTTATCTTAGATCCTGTGTTCAGCATCATAACTTGCATGATCTACCTGTTGTAAGGATCTGCTTTTTGCTCATCTATTTGAGTGCTGATCCAGAGCTTGGTTTGGTTAAAGATACTGCTTTATTGTCAGCACTCTTGGGGGTTGAACCCTGGGATTTACACAGGCTAAGCATACACGTTGTACTGCCGAGTTACGTCCCCAGTCCCTTGTGGAAAGTGCCGTGTTTTGTACTCAAGGGATTGTCTGAAAGCCTGGTTGCAAATGATTGAGGTCACCGTCTCAAGGGTGTTTGTTGCATTTGGCATCCATTGCATCATGAATCTTCTTGGAAGAGGGGACAGGATTTGGACTGGATCCAGCACATTAAAAATCGATTATTCTTCAAGGAGAAAGAAACATCTTATTCTTAAAGAGAAGTACCTAGAATTGTGTGATCTGTATTTTTAGCAAAAGATGACTCAGAGCTTTTGATGGCTCCCAAGTTTTTACTGTTCCTAGGGAAGGTGAAAGCCTGGGACTGAAGTTGGGGTAGGTTAGAGAAATGGAAGACAGGCCGGTCAGGAATACAGAATGAGCTACTGGAGGTGGTGCGTTCTCTGAGATGCTATGTAGCTTACAGGAGGCAGCCACACCTCTCCATAGGAAAGGTTGGTTAGAATGCTGTTTGCTCCTTCTCTAGGCAACTAAGCATTACCTAGAGTACCCTGGGACTCCAGCAAGCTTTGGGGAATAGTCTTCCTGTCACACCTCATATAATTGTACCAGCAAAGTTAATTGAGTTGGTTTTTGAAGTCATCTGGTCTCATGTAAATAAGGAGGTGGCTTCATAGTAGACATGCTCAGATGGAGCCTTTTGCTGCAGCCCTCTGGTATAGCTATGAAGAATGCGGTTCACCTAGACCGAACAGAGTGGAACCAGTCTACTTGGCCATACCTCAGATTTCCAGCATCTGGGCAGGCTGTCGGGAGCTGACGCTGTACTTGCTTGATACTCTCCATTAGTTATCCATTAGTTCATCTGACTGGACTGGCTGGATGGAGCCTTTCACTTTCCTGAGTCCTGACCAGAGGGGCTGTTAGAGAGGGAAACACTCTCGGGCTTCAGTTTGATAGCCTGGCCATCGGCCAAGGACCAAGCAGGAAAGGAAGAAGTCTCTCTGCCTCTGCTGTGCGGGTGTGCACGTGTGTGTGTGTGTGTGTGTGTGTGTGTGGTGGAGGGTGGCACCACTGGCCAGGCAGGGCCTTGCTGTGGGGAACATTCACATGTAAAGCCTCCCAAGTGTCTGGTGGGTCCAGGGGAGGTGAATGTGTCCAAAAGTGACCTGTCACCAACCTGTCCCCCTCTCTGCTCTGCACAGGTGAGCGTTGTGGGCTATGGGATGGATGAGGTGGAGCAGGATCAGCATGAGGCCCGACTCAAGGAGCTGTTTGACAGTTTCGACACTCTGGGAACTGGGTCTCTGGGTCAGGAGGAGCTCACCGACCTCTGCCACATGCTGAGCTTGGAGGATGTGGCCCCCATGCTGCAACAGACGCTGCTTCAGGACAACCTCTTGGGCAGGGTAAGGTCTAGGGAAGTGGGATGCAGATTCTCTTGGGTGCTCAAGGGAGGGGGGTGGTGCATGTGGCAAGCCACAGGTGTTGTAACTTGTCTCTTGCAATCTGGCCGTTAACCTGGTGTGGAAAAGAACATGCTGGGCATACATAACAGTGCTGTTTGTTCCGGTGACAAGGGCCTACTAAATTTAGTCTGCTCTGGAATTAAGTTGTATACTGAGTATCGTAGGTAACAGAAAAAAAGGTTGTTTCCCAGCTTATTTGTTTCCTTGTTCCTTGTGGATCATTTTATTTAATCTACATTCACCATTGGAACAGAAAAGGGGTGGGGGAGATTTCCATGGAAGAGAAGGAAAAGACAGGAAGAAAATGGCCCTTCTAAGGAAGAGTGGATTCTATCATGTCTTTTAAAAAGCTATTTCTACCCCTGGGAGGTAGATGTGGTGGTGCACATCTTTAATCCCAGCACTTGGGAAGCAGAGGCAGGTGGATCTCTGTGAGTTCGAGGCCAGCCTGGTCTATATAGTGAGTTCCAGGCCAGCTGGGGCTACAGGGAGACCCTGTCTCAAAAAGACTAAAAAAAAGAAAAAAGCTTTTTCTTCTGTGGGTCATTTTGGGGTTAAGATTTAATCTTCCATCCAGGAAATAAGAAGGCAGAGAATAAGTAAACATAGCACAGGTCATCTCCAGCCCAGCAGGACCAGCTTCCAGCAGGGATGTGTGTACTGTACGTGCAATGTGAACTTCCACAGTTGACAACAAACAGTCACATTTTCCCTCTAGATCAAGTCACAGACACAAGAAAGAGAACAGGACTCTTTCCTCTCTCCTTCACACTGGTGGGGGGAAGGACATTTGGTTTGTTACAATTTGAGATTGCCTTCAGTTCCCCTAATCATAATCAGTAGCATCATTTATAAAGCTTTGTGTAATACATTCTGCTGTTGATTGTGGAACGGGGAAGAAGGAGAGAGGTGGCACTTCTGAGCGGTGTTGCTGTCATTGCTGACACTCTCTGTCCAGTGGTTTCTGTGATGTGGTGTAACTTGAGGAAACAGTCATGAAGCTCAGCTTGGCGCTGGTGACTGCACTTCCTTTTTCTCGGTGTCTTTTTCGCTGCCTTTTAACTGACAAGATGGATAAGTGACCCCCTGCATCGTAGAAGTTGTTGACTGTGTGTGACCTGAAAGAGACAGGAGTAGCCCTCACCCCAAAATGAATGTACAAAAGATGCTATTGGGGGGTGGGACTCGACATCATGAATGTAGTGTCAAATTGTTCACACTTAAATTTGAATTTGTTGCAAAAACTGGGGTTACCCTTGGTCACTCTGAGGAAGATTCAATGTTTGTGAATATGTATGCTAAAAAATCTAGCATTAAAGGCAATGAAAATAGGAGTGTGAAAGACTGAACCATTTACTCCTCATTAAAATAGTGCATCTCAGGGTTTTTGAGTACTGTGCCCATTTTAGACACGGTAGAGAACAAGAGTAACATTTCCTAGTGTTAAATGGAGATCCTCTGCTACAGACAGATAGCACCCAGCAGCTGACTAACAGTTTGCTCTCCAGATGTTGCACGTCTTCGCCCTCATTTGGTAGACTTAAACCAAGGGAACAGTTATCGATTGATTTGTTATCGGCCTGACTATGGCCTGACACCACCAGCCTGCTTTTTATGTTTACTTTTTGCCTGAATAATGAATACCTAAGTGGTCTATATGTGATATTTACTTAGTGAGCGGGTGATAAAGTTAAATAGATGTCTGCATGTTGATTTCACGTGGGAGGTTCCCTGGTGACTGTCTTGAGAGCAGGGTTGGCATGAATTAATACGCTACTGTTAAATTTGCATTTTTATGAAGCTGAATTATTCTCAGTTGATCACATAAATTTGGCCATATGCTGTGAGGCTGTCTCTATGTTTATAATTTTAAGTTGTAAAGAAAAACAACTTCTTAGAATTTACTAGAAAAATTCTTCACTGTCACCTTTCAGATATTCTATTGAGTAGGGATCATAAGTTGTAAAATTGTAAGTTTTAAAAATTAACGTTTTTAAATGACACATAGTAACTGTGTACTTAAAGGGGCAAAGTGTGGAATGTCAATACTTGAGGCAACACATCAGTTAGACCAAGGTAACTGGCATTTCCTTGTTTGGGGAACATTAAAAGTCCTTCCTATTAGCATTTTGAAATATTCAGTTAATTGCTGTCAATCATAGTTATCTTATAAATTGGTTTTGTTTTGTTACCTTTTCATTTATTTATTTTGTGTGTACATGACATGGCACAGGAGCGGAGGTCAGAGGACAACGTGGGGAATGATTTCTTCTACCAAGTAGGGTCTGGGGATCAAACTCGGGTCATCAGGCATGGCAAGGCTTTTGCCCATTTTTGTCTGTCTTATTTGACACAGGGTGTTCTTTTATTAATGACATGCTTAAGTTCAAGTGGTCGATTTCCTTCTTTATTTTCAATTCATTGAAAGCTTTTTAAAGATTTTCTCGTACATATATTTAGTCATTTGAAGAGCAAATCTGAAATGGAGAAGTACTTTCTGGCAGTGATTATTTGGATTTGTTCTCAGTGTGTGCAATTACACTTGATCATCACATCCTACCTATTTATAACTACCCTGCAATCACACACTCCTGAGGCATATCATTGAGCTGAAGTCCTTCACACTTACAGCAGGAATGCTGGGAACATTTCTCCTGTAGAGCTCAAATGTCTATTTGTTTTGTCCTCCTGTTTAACCCCAAGTCCAACCTGTGGCAGTGAGGGCTACCATTATTATTTGGTTTCATGTTGGGTTTGTGACTCTAGATAAATCATCCTGCTCTTCCTTTAAGGAGTCTCATAAGGATTGATTTAATTTCCTCCATGAGAAGACCTGATCAGGAGGCTGCTAGACTCTATTCTATCCTGTATTGATGCTTTCTTGTCAAACAATGCAAAGTGAGCTTGCATTTTTGGAACTGTGACTCCTTAAGTCTCTTTGCGTGCGTGCGTGCGTGCGTGCGTGCGTGTGTGTGTGTGTGTGTGTTTTCTGTTTTGAGACAGGGTCTTCCCACAGCCCCAGCTGGCCTGGAACTCACTATGTAGACCAGGTTAGCCCTGATCTCATAGAGATCCACCTGCCACTGACTTCCAAGTGCTGGGATGGGATTAAAGGTGGCCCACGCCTGGATGGATACTCCTTAAGTCCCCTATAGTATTTAGTGTGACAGGAAGCAGGTGCAGAGCAGTGATTGTTGGAGGCTTTGGACTGTGAAAAAGCAGGTACAAGTGCTGACTGGCCATTCTCTCTGATCTGCCTTTTTGTAGTAGTACCTGATACCTTTGTCTGAGACTATGTGGTCAGGAAAGCTCATTAGATTTGAAGTATTCTGACGCTTTTATGAGTGGCTTCATGTCTGCCAGTGGGTACTTCTTGTCCTTCAGTGGTCATCACCACTATTAGTCATTAGGCTCATCAGTTGGAGAAGGAATCCTAGTACCTGGTAAGGCTTTTTCAAAGTCAGATGACTCATTTGAGGCAATGTCAGAGTGGCACACTGGAGTCACCAGCCCTTTGAGTACATGGCTCCACAATTTCTTTGGCACCAATATGTAAACACGAATCTCATTTTCCATACTCTCTCCTACCACCACCATCACTACTGCCACCAGAAACAGAGGTAGTATATAGTTGATGTCAGACCTGGATTCAACTACTGACTCTTGCTGTTTTCAACCATGTTATCTTAATACTCTGAGCCTCAGTTTCTTCATCTATAAAATGGAAATATAATAGCTTCCTCATAAGATTGTAATGAGAGTTAATGAGATTGTGTGTACCAAAAGCCTATCAGAGAGCCAGAGATGCAGTCCCCAGCCATATCTCACTATATGCACTTCTTCTTGACCTGCTACAAGAATGGGTCTTTGATAAATAGTGACTTCCTCATAGGGATTTTCTAAAAAAGCTTATGAGACTAGAGAATGAATTTGCTATGTGCTTTTTTGTGTGGTAGCAGTTTGCATCCATTTCCATCTTCAGGCTCCTTGGATCAGTCTTGAAACACAGCTTCATATAGTTGCCTAAGGTTTTAAAAATCCATCTTTAAAATAGCCAGGTGTGGTGGCGCACGCCTTTAATCCCAGCACTTGGGATGCAGAGGCAGGCGGATCTCTGTGAGTTCAAGACCAGCCTGGTCTACATAGTGAGTTCCAGGACAGCTGGGGCTGCAGGGAGACCCTGTCTCAAAAAGACCAAAAAAAAAAAGGTCTTTATACTGTTTGCAGTAAATGACTGCTAAGCTATAATAACCCAAATGCTTTATTTAGACTAGAACATTTCATAACTGGGTCTTCCATGGTAAAACACATCTGTTTGTGAGTCTCTGAAGTTTTTCTTTGCCTAATGCTATAAGTATAATTTTCCAGTTTCTATAGTCCATGTTTCTATATCCATCTCAACCTCAACTAACAATGTTTGGAAGTCTCTCTGACTGATTTCCTTGTGTCTTAGTAGATGCAAACCAACTAAATCTGATGACCGCTACAGAGACCTTTGTCTTGGTTTATAAGCTTGCTTTGTTAAACACTGGTGTGAATTCTCTTATGCTGGGTCTCTTTGAAGTACTGATTGGGCATGTGTAGAAGCTGTATGCATTTGATCTCTGTGATTGCACAAGATGACTGTGTTATGTAGATCCTTTATTCTTCCTATTGCAGCTCTGTGTGTGTGTGTGTGTGTGTGTGTGTGTGTGTGTGTGTGTGTGTGTGTGTGTGTGTGTGTGTGTGTGTGTGTGTGTGTGTGTGTGTGTGTGTGTGTGTGTGTGTGTGTGTGTGTGTGTGTGTGTGTGTGTGTGTGTGTGTGTGTGTGTGTGTGTGTGTGTGTGTGTGTGTGTGTGTGTGTGTGTGTGTGTGTGTGTGTGTGTGTGTGTGTGTGTGTGTGTGTGTGTGTGTGTGTGTGTGTGTGTGTGTGTGTGTGTGTGTGTGTGTGTGTGTGTGTG